TAAAATGTTATGAGGCTTAAGCTATTTAGACTATACATTTGTGGTTTCGTGTTATAATTTCTAGTAATTCTAAAACCAAAAAAGCGTAATTTATATCCACTTGCTATTTTTACGGTAGTTTCGAGGTCAGTCGAATCGACCAAACCCATACAGAGATACAATATTGAAAAGTACAGATAAAATATAAAGTAATAAAAACAACGTTTGATAATTATTGGAGAATATTAGGAGGTTATAGAGATTTTGCGTGTGAAATCTGACAATTTTCTGATGCATAAAAGTATTTTTCATCTTAAAATCAAAATTACTTCGCATGTTGGATAGTCAACATTCGAAAATAGAAAATGCACGGGCAAATGATTAATTAAAATATCTGATACTTTGTGTATGAACGCCTTGTAATGTTTATTGATAATTGTAAAATTTCGTGAAGATCCGTGTACATTTTAAAAAGTTAGAGTATAACAGCTTTATGGTTACTTTCGGGAACATAGGCTGGTTGTAATCTTTTCACCCGTATTAGAAGGGCTAGAATGAAATCAACTTGTTCATGTGTTATTTGAAACCTAAACTCACACATAATAAATTACAAATTTGGAATAATACTATATTAAAATAAGAAGAAGAAAAGCATGAAATATTTATATACCACACATACTCCTTTTCTATTTTGCCTTTTGTACTATTATAGTGATTAATTATTAAAGCTTTTTGTTAAGGGGTTTTTAATTTGTCGTTTGATAATTTTCCGAAGAAACTTTAGCGACACAGTCCTTTCTTAAATAAAACTAGTTTATTCTTTCTCAATACAACTTTGCAATACACTTAATTTCCACAGTCACACTATAACTTAACAAACGCTATGATTCACAACGAACGATACACGCGCTCGACCCAACTGTCCGTCTCTATCTCTGTCTGCAATTCAACTGAAATCCATTGTTGCCGTCACTTCTTGGCGGTCTTATATACATGAATACCGCATATCTAGTAAACTCTCGAGCATT